ACCCACCAACCCACCAACCCACCAACCCACCAACCCACCGTTATTCGCTTAAGATACCCATTTATGTATGCTTGACCTTTCAACTAGCCCGATCAATTCCTTTTAACGAAGTATGAAAAATGCATCTGGGCTTTGTATCAGAAATCATGAACTTAACTTACCAAGTTTGGGCAAAGTTATAAATTTAAAGCTTCAAGTCAACCAAATGAAACTTATCCGGACCCCTTTTTTTGTTTATGGAAAACGAGAAGCGGACGCCCCTCTACAGTACAGGATGTGTTTCACATGACATTCGCTGGTATTGAGGATATTTCAAAGCTAGAATCATTGGGTGAGGTTGAGCATGATATTTAACTATTTTATTTGACTATCGAAAGGCGTTTTATTTGATCGATCATAGAATTCTGATTGACAAACTATCTAAGTTAGATATCCCACATAGTATTGTATACTGCATAATAGATTTTCTATCTAGTCGATCCCAAAGAATCAACTTAGCTGGGGGTTGCTACTCCGAGTGGAGATCAGTCTCATCCGGGGTACCACAGGGTACCAAATTGRGCCCGTGGCTATTTATTGTAATGATTAACGATCTTAATATTGATTCACCATTTTTATGTAAATTTGTTGACGACACTACGACCTCGGAGATAATTCAAATAGGAAACGTCAGTAACGTCCAGTGTCTAATCAATCATGTTATTAAGTGGTCCCATGACAACCAAGTTCAACTTAATCCCGATAAATGCAAAGAGCTTAGGCTAAGGTCAAACGTCGAACTTCACATGAGCCGAACCTAATTACATGAAAGAAGACCGCCTTGTTATCCATTGTTTCAATTAGGTTTGGCTCATGTGAAGTTCGACGTTTGACCTGAGCCTTAGAATCTCATTTGCTTTATTGACGGAAAAGAGTTAGAAGTTGTTTCTAATACTAAGATTCTAGGGCTTACTGTAAGTGGCAACCTAACCTGGAAAGCTCACGTTGAAGAAGTTGTGAAGAAAGCTAGTAAGCGATTGTACTTCCTAGTGCAGCTCAAAAGGGCCAGGCCGCCACTTTAATTGTATACACTTATTTCAATAAAGTTAGTCACCTGAAAACTATAAAGCTGAGGCCGACAAGGATTATGGGTAAATTCATTTTACATGTTCAACCGCTTGATAACTGTTAATGAACTTGCGAAATCTTTACCGGTTACAGTCTCACCTTTTCTGAGCATCATCGAGCTGCAGTTTGTATTAAAAACCTTTGTATGTACATGCTTTTTTGATATGAAAAGTTTCCCATGATGCTCAGTGATCTCAGCTTTCTAGGTTTTTGGTGACTAACTTTATTGAAATAAGTGTATGCAAATTTGGGTTAATTGGTTATCGTTTAATCCTGTTGTCTGGAAATGGCAAAATTTTATTAGTGAAATTAAAAAAAAAAACGTCATGATCCATTAGAAAGCTGGTGTGTTAGGAGATACATTTGTTATATTTCAAAAAAATGAATTCGTTACATGAAGGAAAAAATAATAACAAACGGCAAAATCTTGGCAGCAAAAGACAATTCGATTGAACGCGGAGCATTAAAAAAATAATTGCTTAATTAAATAAGACTTTCACCTGCTAACCTAATATTGGCAAAGAAAAAAACACCAAACAACAACCATAATTTAAGAAGTAGTAGCACCTGTTTCGAGTACAAAATACGAATATGTCTGACCGGGTCTACAATAAACGAATGGCCTACGAGCTAGCTTACAGGACCCTTGCGCAGATTATTACAGAGTCTTCCTTTCTTATCTTGATTGCAGTGATAGGGTTCTTGGGTAATTCGTGCGTGTTGTACGTGTTCTACAAGTCATCTCGTCTTCGCAGTATTACAAACTACTACCTGATAGTCCTTGCTATCTCTGATATTACAATGACAACGGTAGTGATGCCTACAACGATAGCTGTAGCTATGACGGGAAGAGATGTTATTGGTGTTACTGTCGGTCAAGTCATCGGGATCTTCACCTATACTTTGGTGTTTGGTTCTCTACAGACCACTTCATTGATTGCTGTTAACAGATTCTTCTGCATTACTAAGCCATCTGTCTACCGTAAATACTTCAAGCCAAGACCTGCGATCATCATGATCATCGGAGCATGGCTCTTCGCGATTTCCAACATAGCACTAGTCTACGTTAGCGGTATGGGGACATATGTATTTTACCCAGAAACGTACGTGTACAGACTTGCATACAATAGCCATGTAACGAAACGAGTAATAGCCGCCTTGAATCAATTATTTTTTGGCCTGTTGCCGATGATTCTCACAATTTAGCCTGTTACTGGAAAGTCTACCAAGCCGTCAAAACACATAACGCAAATGTATCTCTGAGCCTTAGCGCCGGGACAGTAGGAAATGGACCATCTATGAATAAGAACGAAATTCATATCACCAGGTCAGTATTAGCGTTGGTAATTGGGTTTGTTCTGTGTTGGTTACCCTGTGGAACAATCTATCATATTGCAGTTTACGTGGACTTGCCTAGACATGTTGCAATGCTCATCACATATTTGTCTTACAGTAGTAGTGCAATCAACCCATTTCTTTTTTATGTTTTTAACAAGCCATTCAAGAGAGAATTTTTTGCCATTTTTTTCCCTCGGAGACGAGCTCGAGTAGGAACAGAGCAACAGAGGAAAGTAAGAGCGAGATGAAAAGACAGGATGCGGTTGCCGACCTTGGCCGAGCACGTAATATCGTAGAAGAAAAAGAAACGGTTTAAACAGCTGTGATAAGACTTCAAGCGATGTAATGACGTTGATAAACAAATTAAAGAGGAAAAATAAGAAAGGAAGAAAGAAAACAAAGATAGAGAAGAAAAAAATGTTAGTTTTTGGTTTTAGTTTTTGACAGGGAATAGTACTTGAAAAATCATTAACTTTTTCTACTTAAAAGGACTGGAATTTAAAACAATCTGATGCCTCTGATTGGCAAACTACGGAAAAGGAATACTTTGGCACTTGTTAGCTAGATTGGTTTGTTTGTGTGTTAATTTTCCTATGAAAACTTATTTTGATATTCAAAAACCTCCACATATTTATTGCAGTTTACGAAGCATAATCTTTAGGGAAGTTAATGGAAGAAGATATGAAATAGAAGAAACAAAAAATTGGAAAAAAAAAAGCATGAAAGCAAGATATTGCGAAGATAATAAAAGCACAAAACAATAGACTTATAAGAAGTACTATAAAAGCTATATCATTAATATTGCATGGGGCCAATTCAAATGGAAAATTCTTTTAAAGTAATAAAATATGTAACTCTATTTGAATATGTAATTATATAAATAATAGTTGCACTCAGAAAGAGAGAATAACAGAAAATATGTAGGTAGAAGTGTCATATTTGGGTTTGCTTTCAGTCTTGCTTCTAAAATTACGCACACCTGCACAATTACTGTACACCTTTTAAGGTAGTAAGCTATTTGGAGAGTGTCCAATAGAGTTTCAGAGTAGGACTTGGATTATTGATGTATTATCAATAGGTTTAGGCAAAGTTTACAAATATTACGTCCACCTATAACGAACACTCTCATTTCTTGATAGATAATCACGTGACACTAACTAAATCTAATTGTCATTCTCCAAGTGCTGAAGTCCGTTTTTTGTCTTCTGTCATGGGTCAAGAGGGTACTACGTGGTAGTCATCGACATGCATTGTTTACCGGCAACCGTTCTGAGCCGGTAAAATTTACAATTTTCACCGAACAATGAGAAAAACGGGAAGTGACTTCACTGTGAAACTTATAATTGAAAAAAAATTCTATAAAATAAAATAAAATAATAAAAACTCAAATAACTGTTGTGTTTTTTGACATTTGTTATATGTCAAAATCACTTGTATTTGGTAAAAAAACTGGATTAACACGCCCTGACTTAGATGAGCCACGCGCTTGTTTCGGGGTTTGGGCTAAGCTGGGTTAGTTAAGCCGTGCCCTGGCTTTCAACAGCCAATATGTTTCAGGGTTTCATCTGCAGATCTAAAAATGTTTTAGCGGTGGCTATTGGCCTTGAAATTGTCCCAAGAATCGTCCCAAAGCGATCTTTCCTGTGCATTTCCGAGTTTGCGCATGCTTTGAAATCGAGCGGTTACCGCTGTGGTGTGTACACAGACGGACGTACAGACGGAGGGGACGTAATCGAGCCATGAAAAATAAGCTCTTGTCAGTTAACTGCTCCCAGACAGTTTTTCTAAACCACGAAACACACCTTTCCTAAACCATAATTCGTTTATAAAAAATAAAAAAAAAACAATAGTGAAAAATAGTTAAAAAATCAAAGGCTAGAAGAAAAGAAGAAAAAAATACATATGTATAAAAAAATCTTAAGATGTTAATATGGTGAGAATCGAACCACGTCCACCAACTTTAATCAGATAATTAATTCCAAAATACACAAAAAGGAAAAACTAGTGCCTTCATGCCATACCCCTAGACATCCGCTGGGTCATCGTATGGACTTCGGACATGACGGCGATTAAGTCCCTCTGCCCTTGGGTGTACGGATTACGCAGGACTGTGCTCTAGCCGAAGCATAAGGGGAGAGACTAGCCGGCCCCCAGACCATATCTACAACTAATCCCTTGCACTCTGCCACGCACTGGCACGTTGATTTGAAGTGGATAATAATCTCTTCTACGTGGCTCTTTGCTGTCATGGCTATTGTTGTGCTAATTTCCTGAAATCGTGGTCCAGTGGCAAAAAAATTGGGCTAATAAGACACTGAGTCAAGCACGTTTGAGAGAAATTAGTACTTGGATGGGGGACCTGAACTTTTAACTTTTCCTTTCTTAATTAAACCTTTCTCTCACAATTTCATTTTTTCCCTCCTTGTTTATTTGYCTGCATTATATATCTTCCCTTAGCCGAAAGCCCGTGTGGGAGCTCTGCTTAGAGTATATAATTTGCTGCTAAAAAAATCAAGCATTACAAGTTTTATTGTTAACAATAGGTTTACAGTTTTCAGATTTCAGAGTACTTCAAAATTACCTTTATTCTAGTATGATGGTAAAATTGTTGGTGTTAGTATGTAATCCAATGATCCCAAAACATGCAGTAAATGATCATTTTGTGGTGGCAAAACGTTAAACATAGCGTTTTAAGTACAGTTAAATTTACTAGTATTCCTTTGAAACTGCAGGAACTGCTTCCCAATTCTAACGAACCAGTATACTTAAAGTTTTGAAATTAAAGGTGTACCCCTGATTAACCCCCTCAAACAATCAGTCGTTCTTATAACGAGTATTTCAAGCTAAACCAGTTGATTTGATAAATATCTTTTTAGCCAATCAGACTAGAGGAAACCTCTGAAAAGACTGGAACGAGAGAAAACGTGCGTATGATCGCAGGCTTCATGGCTTCTCAGTTTTGCAGTGACGTCATTACAAAAATGTTTCAGTAAGCACCAGGTGCTAAGATTGTGCATCGACAAAATGGCTTTCTGATGGATCCTTCCCTAAATTGTCTTACATGCGAGGCTGATATGAAAATTTAAAAGTAATCACACTTTTTCTCAACTAGAATTAAAATTATTTCTTTTGCATTTCCATGTGAGTCTCGCATTCAATATTTCATATATAAAATATTTTCGTTATAGGTTCAAAAGTGAAAATCTGGTTACGTAAGAGTCTGTGGCAAAATAGAGAGATTTTAAAATYATCACGTTTTTTACTTTACGCAAGCAGCAGACATGACCACCTTTTTGTTGAATGATTTATGTGTTCAAACTTTTTGAAAGTTTGGCTTTGATGAAAATCTGATGTGTGCTAAGTGAATGAATTGAGAACGCAGAATGTTTAATCTCGCAACAAGAGGGTGGCAAGAGTGAAATAGCTGTAAGAGCTCTCGCCTCTCTCCGACGCGACCCGATTCGAGTCCCGGGCTCGACGTCGTATGTGAGTAAAGTTGCTTTTTGGTTCTCTCCTGTACTTCGTGTTTTTTGTTTTTTGTTTTTTTTCGGGCTTTACGGTTTTTCCTCCCTTTTCAAAAAGCACGCGCAGAGACCCGCATAATTGCCGTCGCGACGAAGGTTGTGGTGTATGTCAATCATTGCGTTTCCAAAACGTTCCATAGGCACGTGCATTATAAAACTGTGTTTTCCAACAATAATTTCCCTGACACACTTTTGCTGACACCCATCAACATAATTTTTTTCAGCAGCTGAGTTTCGCATTGCTATTACGAAGCACCGTATACGTTATTATTACATTTAAACTAAAAGTAACTTCAGTAGAAAAGAGAGACATGCAAGGTATGCATCTGTCAGTGACTTGGCTATCACATTTGATGGTTTTTCTTGAGTAGCTCTTCCAGAACATCCTCGATTTCTTTCTCGTGCTTTTCTAGCCACTTGATACGTTCTCTGATGCTTTTTAAGGCAGATTCGTCAGAAACTTCGATTTGTGCTTGGAATCTTTGAAACTTGGGATACGATAAATTGGTTAGAACCCGCCAACCCGCCAACCCGCCAACCCGCCAACCCGCCA